TTCCAACTCTAATTTCCAGCTACCTAATCATGACATCAATTTTATGCCACAGCAATTCTATTGAGCTCCATTGGACTCACACTGGAATCATATCAGCCTAAAAGGGGTTAGGTTGAGGCAGATAAAAGATGTGCCTTAAAGTGCTCCAGGTTCTCTCCCACATTTAGCTCCTTGTTGGGACTGTATGAGGAGAAACTCGAAGATCCTGGATGAGCAATATGTGGATGGGAAGGAGGACACCCTACAGATCACCAGGAACACTGCACATCACTTTCCAAACCCCATTCATGGATGAATGAGAGAACCAGGGCTTTAAATAGAAGAGATAAACCATACCTAGGATTGACTTGAGACTGAAAAGAGCATTTGTGGAGGGGGTAGACATGAAAGTTCAGCAAGTTTCTGCTATTTTTATATATATATATATGAGATATAGATTTTCTTATTACAGATCACTTAGTATATGCTACACTCAGAAATTAGAGTTAAACCAAGTTATTCCATCTTCCCCTTCAGGGCAAGTTTCTGCTATTTTTATATATATATGAGATATAGATTTCCTTATTCCAGATCACTTAGTATATGCTACACTTAGAAATTATAGTTAAACCAAATTATTCCATCTTCCCCTTCAGCCTCAACTTCTAATATTCAGTTCTCATTCCACAAAAACCATCTAGACCAAAGCAATACAGATAATTTCACAGAAGAGACCTCACAGCAACACACCACTTGCTCTACCAGAGGTTTTCAGTCATTAGGACCCATGGGAGGACCCAGCCCATGGCTGGCTTGGGTCCATCACCTGTGGACAGCAAGGTTGAGGGATGCTGCTCCTGGGTGGATTTTGGAAAGGTCAGGTGAGCCTGTTCTCACCTCACTGCACAGATCAAAGAGGCTGAGAGATCTAGATGACCTCAGTGGGTTGAAAAAAGAGCAGCACCATCTAGTTGTTTGTTCTGCTTTGTAAGACCCAGGCTCTGATTCATGGCTTGAGGCACCACAGCACTAACTGCCCTAAGAGCCTCTGATAAATGTAAGCAGAAACACCAACTAGAAGCAGTCTCAAGCACAACACAAATCATTCACATTCCATTGGCCTCACTTTTTGGATGTCAGGGTGAACGAGGAACTTCTGCACTTTCTGCATTTACTGATTGCAGTCTACACAAGACACCAGGGAGGGCCATGGCAGACTCAGAAACTGGGGATTTTTATAGCTGATATCATCCTGAGAACACCAAATTGGAGTTATGTAAAGCACCTTTGTCACTCCTCCTCTTTCAGATGCAAAGCAGCATTTCTAGGAAGGAGTTAGGTGCACCATGCCAAGCACAGAAACTCTGCCCAAGAAGACAGATGAATGTCCAACATTTCCAAGCAGAGCTTGGGCACAGAGGAGGGGCTCTCATCAACCTCATACAGATGCCTTCCAGAAATCAGAAAGCAACATGTAGACTATTCCTGTGCCTGTCTGTGTTTCTAAAGAATGCTTTATGTCTGATGCAGGCCACATTCTCACCATTTTAAGCTAAGATCTGTCTTAATTTACATAGATTTGTTGAAAAATGGGAGATCATGAGACCTACAGTTTTCCAGAGCCACTCACCTTTGGGAAAAGCAATGGTCCAGGCTTGCTTTAGGTATGACCAGACTTCTAGGAGTTGTACCTCTCTGATCTCTAAAGGCAAAACACATGCTCAGTTCTGCAAGGAGACAAGAATACCTGTGGAAAACCCTGGTACCTTTCTGTCAGTGGGTTCAGCACAGGAAGGTTAGAGTCATTTTTTATTGATTGACTCTTGTAATGAAAAGAAATGGAAAGGAAATAATTTTCAGGTTCTTGGGGGCAGGTGGGAGGAATGGGTTTTGCAGTCTAAAAAAACCCCCAAATGACCCTACAATATATTTGTGCTCAGCAGCACATCCAACAGACTTTGCTAGCAGACACTGCAAGATCATGGATTTGTTTCTGCCACAGTGGGCTACACAAAAGTGGTTTCTAACTTGTACACATTTCATATGGAAACCTAAAAGAGACTTTTTATCTACCTGTGCCTCAGTTTCACAGATGTGAAATAGTTTTCTGGGGGCACAGAGTAGTGTTCAGACCTTGTGGTGATGTGCCTACAGCCAGACCAAAGGAAATGGTGCAGTGCCTATCTGAGGAGCTTAGGATTGTACCTGCAAAGGTCTTAGACAAGGCAACACTCATCCTGTTTGCACATACCTTTTGTGTTCCTGATGTCCAGAGTAGGGCTGCAGCCTTAACTGAGCCATGGGAGCAGAGGGAGGAGGAAGCATCTGAGTGAAAATCATGGCCCTGCAGAGCAGGGGAGATGAAGCTACTCTGTAAGGAACAGGAAGGTCCTTTAGGCACCTGCTTCAGGTCTCCAGGGAGCTACAGATGTGAAATCAAGGCTCAGAAGCCTTTTATACACAGCCTATTCCTTAGTGCATTCACTCAGGGAAGACCAGGTCCTAAACCTCCATCCCATCCTTGACATGGGAGAAAGGTGCCCACCTCTGCCTGATGAAACTGGGCTTTGCTGGCAGCTGCAGCCTCTGACCCACAGTTTGGTTCCTCACCTGCAAAAAATCACCTCCCACCCATGGCTGTGAGTCATTAAGAGTCATTAGAGCCCAGAGAGAGCCACCCAAGAGGACACTTGGGCTCCTCACAACAGGTTATGTGCAGCCAAGGGGGCTTGTGCCCTGCTCCTGCACAGTAGCCATGCCCAGCAGAAGGAGTGCCCACCCTCTGCACTCTCCTTTTGGGGGCACCTTCCCTGGGGCAGCTGCCAAACCCTCTGGGGCACGAGTGCCAAATTCACTTGGTGGACCCAGGAACCCTTTTGGTGATCCTATTAGAGAGAGAGAGAAAGGATGGGACTGCCAAGACTGAAACTTTTCTTGCTAAACTCAGAATTCTCAGCCTTTTTTACTAGCTTGTGTTGCTGATACTATCCTGGCCTCACCTATGGGGCTGGGAAACTTATTTATTGGGGTGATTCATTTCCAGCTCCCATGTGAGCATCCAGAGCCTGGCTGCTCTGTCCTGCTGTGATGGCTGTTGGTCTGGGCTCAACTGCAAGTAAAATCAGCTCCAAAGGACCTTTACTGTGAAAGGCTTTCTGTGATAGTGCCTCAGTGATCTGGATGGGTGCTCTGAGACTCACTTGGGTAAGGTTTTGACCCTGCTGAGCTGAGCAGACATCAGCTGAGCTGCAGTGACTGGCCACATGTTTGCAGCCCCCATGGATCCCCATCCAGCTGAAAATCTGACAGCTGTAAGTTTCAGTAAATCTGGGAGTGAGTGTTGTCTTAGGTGGTGGATTGAAGGGTTGGGTTCTTCTTCACCCATGTCCTGACAGAAGAGGCAGAAACAGTGGCAGGCTGCTTTGTTTCCACTTCTGCTGTGTATTTTTTTTGGCTTTACTGCTTCATTTGGGACACTTGCTTGGGCCAGACAGGCTGCTGGGCTTCATGTTACACCCACCTCCTGACAAATGAGCGTGACATCAGTATGACTTCTATTTTTTATAGAGATATCTATCACCAATTTAATTAACGTGTCAGCACAGACCCGGAGTTCAAACTGAAGGGGACTGAATATTCCTCTTTCCTTTTAAGGCTGGCATAATTTCCCCTCTGCATGGCAGGAGCTTCACACTTCCATTTTTCACTAGTCCCTACCACTGTGAGCTGTAGATGTGGTCTCTTTTAAGCCTGCCTCCTGTAAACCCCTGTAATTGCATGCTGCTGTCTTCCCAAGCCACCCTCTGCAAACGGAAAGCCTGCCCTGAGAAAGCACCCAAGCAGAGGACCTCTGAAACACAGGCTGCAAAAGCTGCTGCTTCACCCAAAAAAGCCCCTTTTTTGGCTCTGCCCTCCCCTGCTGTTGCTACCTTGCAGTTGATGACATCCAGCTAGTGGGAGGGATGACAAACCGAGCAAGGCAGTGAGCAAGAAATTTCATTCCTGTTGAAATCAGTAATTCCTCTGTGCAAGCTGCTTTTTTTTTTGTGTGTGTGTGTGTGCTTTCTTTTGTGTCACTTCGAGAAGGGCTCTGATATTATTATTACTTTAAATATAGCTTGCCCTGGGGCGGGGAAATGCACCAGGAAAGAGTCGGCAGGCAGCCTATCTCTCAGAAGAAAAGAACCAGCCTCTCAGCACAGGAACTGGCTTCGCTCAAGTGTGCAGTTTAGAAGTCAAAAAACTCTTCCTAATACCACCGTTTTGGAGGAGGCTGAAGGAAAAGGAGCCAGAGCTGGCTGAAGGCAGTGAAGAAGGTGGCAAATCGGGGTGCAAAGTTTCCCTGAACGCGGTTCGAGGCTGGGCTCTGAAGTCCAACGTAAGTCTAACTTAAATTATATTCTTTTTATCATAGTATCTAGTTGTTTAGTTTCCATTCTGAAGCCAGGCTGGGCCAAAAGGCACAATTAGCTTTAAATCTCAACACGGAGCAGCGTGTGTAAGCCTTGATGTGAGGATGAAAATGATTCTGAAATACAACTGAGGGCAGAGACTATCGGCTCTATAATGGAAGAGGAACTATAAATAAAAGCAGCACTAATTATTTCAAGGGAAAGATGCTGGATGGAGTCTTTAATCAACTTTTTTAAGAGGGAAGTGAGAGCTCTGCTGTTTGTATGGCAGGCTATTTTAATACTGCTGTGTTTAAAATTGTGTGATTACAGTTACCAATAGCAATAAGCTGTAGCTCCAGAGGGGAGTCCTAGTGGTTGCAAAAGTTGGTTTTTGTTTTTTTTTCTCTTTTATTTCTCCAACATTTTTGCTCTCTGAAGCCTCAAGTCCACGTTCTCTATCCTACAGCTTGAATTTTGCTTTTCAGCTGGATTTTCAATGTGTGCCCACACTGGACTTCCTATGGAACTGAAACCAAAACATTCCAGCTTTGGGAGTAACTCTGGGATGTTTTTCTCCATCCTGCTAGTGACAAAAATGCAGCTGACCAAAGATTGTGCTCCCTCAACTTCTGGCACGGAGAGCTGAGGAATATAAAGCCTGATGGTGACAAAGGGAGCTCATTGCCCATTTTTCACTCTTTCTCTCACTGCTTTCAGACTTGGCAATGGATATTCTTTGTGATGAGGAGAGCTGTGTGCACCCAACTACAAACTCCTTGATCCAAATAAATCCTGAGAGGAGACTCTACAGAAACATTTATGGAGCTGGAGAGCTTAATATATCCCATCTCTTTAACTTGACTGTGGACTCTGAAAACCTAACCAACCTTTCCTGTGAAAGCAGCACGAATCCCTCGTGCTACTCTTCCCTGTTCCAGCTTTCCCAGAAGAACTGGCCAGCTCTGCTGACAGTGATAGTGATTGTTTTAACCATTGCTGGAAATATTCTTGTCATCATGGCTGTGTCACTGGAGAAAAAGCTACAGAATGCCACTAACTATTTTCTAATGTCACTTGCCATAGCTGATATGCTGCTGGGTTTCCTTGTCATGCCTGTCTCAATGTTAACCATACTGCACGGTGAGTATTAGCTGTGCAACCTACTGCACACCTTGAGAAGCTTTAAACGTTGCATGCACACGTTATTTCATTCTCTTATCACACAAAAAAACCCTGTAATCACTCCATGTAATTAGTTAATGGATGTAAGAATAGGTGAAGCACTTGAATCTCTCCCTGTTTCTAGCTATGGGCATTTTAAACACAGTCCAGACCATTCGTTTCTCAGTTGCTGGATGAATTCCCTCAAGGTGTGTGAGAAGAGGCTTTGTTCTCTCTATTTTCTTTTTTTATTCCACCCTGGGTCACAATTTTCAATATTCCTAAGGAGAATGCAGGGTCCTGGCAGTGACTTTGCTCTGCAAATATGCACAGAAGCACCTTTGGATCCCTGGAATAGTGGCTCCCTTCAGATCCAAAGCAGGCAACCTCTTCAATTTTTTTTGAATTAAAGTAATACAAGTGTTAAAAAATTTGCTTAACATCCATCTCCTGAGTAGTCATCCATGGAATAAATATTGTGGGACTTAAAAAAATAGATAGGAATGGATTCTGCCTCATTTTAGTAACAAATTACAAACGCAAAGAGAAGTTATTTAAGAGTTAAGTGAACAATGACTCACGGTTCACACCCTTGGAGGTGATTAACAGCAGATCTTCCTTCTCATTTTCACCAAAATCCCTTGCAGCACAGGTCACCTAGAGAAAAAAAACCAGCAGCCTGTGGGTTTGGGACCAATATTGTCAGGTTGTTATCCCTGAAGTTGAGAAATGACTTTCCTGCTGCCACAACCCAGCGGCCACAGTGCCAAGAGAAGCCAGACAACGGCAGGAGGAGGGGGAGGCTGTTTGTATCTGGGGACAAAAGGTCCCAAAGCACGAGCCTGGGACTTAAGACGGATTTCATCTGGAAAACTGGAAGTTTTTTGCCCCCTGTCAGTGTTTCTGCACAGCTCGCCCTGGGTGGCATTTGCAAATCTGCGTCGGGCATCAGTGGGAGTGGAAGGTCGTGATTTGTGCTGCCGGCGGTGCGGGGACCTTTGGAGGGGGAGGCGGCGGGAGAAGAAATCGGAGGCGTGAGACGAGCGAAAACCTTTTCCAACCCTGCCTGGGTCCCTGAGCCGTGCAACAGGGACTCCTGCTGGCCGCTGCTTCGGGAAGAGAGGCCCGAAATCCACCCTGCAGCCCAAGCGCTCCCGAGGTCGGGATGCGGCAGCTCCTGCACCCAGCGAAGCCGGGACCCTGGTGGTGGAGGGGTGGCTGTGACACCCTCCCTGCCCATTGCCAGCCTGGAGGAGCCACAAGGCAACTAAAGCACCACGGGGAGGGGGGGAGTGTGTAGGGTTTGTAGGGTTTCCCTCCTCTCTCCCTGCTTGTGCCCCTGCAAGGTGAAGAAGGGTAGCTTGGGGTGAAAGATCATCCAGTGCAGCACAGTGCACCCTCAATCGCCAGGACAACCAGTGATGGTGCAGAGGGAAACCTGCCCTCAGCTGCCAAGAGGTGGCCAGGATGTAGCCACACCATGTGTGTTCACAGTCCTGAGCCCAAATCAGGGGCTTTTGTATCTGCATGGTTCTGCCAGGGTACCTCTGAGGCTGTGGAACAAGGGTGCTCCACCACCTGCCCTGCAGCCCCTCCAAAGGGGGTTGTGACCATTGTGCTCACAAGAGAGATGATTTCCTTCTCAGGAGATTTCTGGTTCCTCTGGACAATTCCTGTTTGAGTTCCTTGGCCACACCAGCCCATGTTTGTCCAGCTCACACCCTTTGGGCCAGGCAGGTTTCTCCACCTACCCAAGAGCATGAGCCTCTGCTGGAAATAAAGACATCACCAAAGGAGGATGTGCCAACAAGGCAGAAAATTCACAGATGAGAACATCAGCACTGATTCTTACCCACTCGTGTGTTTGGATGCCAGATGCCTGTTGCTCCTGCCTCAGAGACTTGCCCCATGCCAGTGTGGAGAAGCTGGAAGGGTCACTGGCAGATGCTGCATAGCTCCCTGCTGCAGTGGAAGGACCAGGCTCCTCAGAGGGCTCCTGAACAGCTGGGTGCTGACCAGACAAAGCCTTGGGGGATGTGCTTTTGACAAGGCAAGCTGGTGGACAGAGCCTCCTCAGCAACAGCCTGGGTTTAGGAACCTCACCCTCTCCCTCTCCTAACTGGCTACATCAAGAAGATCCCATCTCATCTACCTGAACTCCCTCAAGATGAAAGTGCAAAGATGCACAAACCCATTGCTCGGATGGGACTCTCTGATAGGAACTCCTGGATCTCATGAGCTCTCATGGACCACATGAAACCCTGGACCTTGTAAAACTTCCTCTGCCTAGTCAACTTTTAAATGGCAGTCGTGTTTTGGTTTGGTTTATTTCATTTCCCCTTGGATGAAGGGGGAATTGGACAGCAGCCACAGCACAGCACAATGCAAAGCTACCAGGTGCCCAATAAAATGTCCCAAGTCCTGCCTAGAGGATGTTTTAGCTACACCCTTCCCAACTCTTCATCCCCAGTTGTCCCCTCTCATGTAGTTTCCTCTTTCTTGATGCTGTAATCCTCAAGGTAGCTCATCTGATGGATGCTGTTTTATCCCTGCCCCATCTGGGCTTAGAGCAAGGACAAGGAGGTCGAGAAGGAGATGACAAATGTGTTCCCAAAGGCCATGAAAGCAAGAGGACAGATGCATGTTGGCAAATGTAAACATACTTCATTGCTTTCCCCTAAGTTGGCCTGGCCTGATGGTGTGATGCTGCTGGGAAGACATGCCCCTGAAAGCCAGCCCTCCCCCAGCACACTTCAGAGGCTGGATTCTGTATTGGAAGACTGGAAAATGAGGCAAAACTTGTCCCTAAATGCTGCACAGCTTGTCAGGGCCAGCTCATATCACTGCAGTCTAAGAGCACCGACAAATAGGTCTCCTCAGGGCTTACTGAGACTGAATTTAATTAGGCACAGACCTGGCTCCTCTGCCTCTCCCTTTGTTCCTGCTGTTGCAAATCTTGTACTGTCTCTCCCAAGGAGACAGGCACTCCCCAAAATATCAGTGTTTTCTCCCAACAGCCACGTTGGCATTGCCCTGTGCCACGCTGTCATGGGCAGCTCAGGTCATGTGCCCTACTAAATTAAATCACCACAAGAGAAGGACAGGAATAACTGCAAAACTTGCTCCAAGGAGAGTTACTAGTGGTTCCCTGCAGGACTAGGAGGGCTTTAGAATGGGGGTCCTGCAGGGCTCTGCTTAGCCTGGCTCTGCTGATCTGCTCCTAACAACCTGGACAGTGTGTAGAGTGTGAGCTTATGCTGCTTTCCAAAAGCATCAAGCTGGGAGATGTTACAAGCACTCAGAGAGTCAGCATCAAATTCATCAACAATCATCTGGACCCCTGAAGAGAAAGTCTGAAATGAATAAATACCATCCAGCAAGGAGAACTGCAAAGAGATCTACTTGGTAAATGACAGCAAACCAACTACTGCTGGGGAAGTTTTTCCAGGTTTCAGGAGTGCTGAACAAGATCTGGCTGTCAAAAAGGATCATAAGCCAAATGTGTCACTAGTGTGGCATTTTTACACAACAGCTGGTTACAATTCCAGCTTGTGTAAGGAAGGAGATTCCTGCAAGACCTGGGAAGCAATATTCTATTTCAGCAAGCAGTCGTTAAAGGGTTTTGGTCCCTGAATGATAAGTGAGATGTGGATAAATGAAATAGTTTCCCACAGCAGAGAAACAAGAAGGACAAAAGTTTTAAAAGCATCATCTGTAAGCAAAAGATAAAGGAATTGGCTTTGCATAGGCTGGAAGACAAAGAGAAAAAAAACCTAGGCAACACTTGATAACCATCTTCCAATAGCTTCCAGAAAGGACAACAATCAATTCTTCTTTGTGGCTTGTGGAAAGGAAAAAGAGAAGGTTTAATTTGCAGCCAAGAAGATGGAGGTTGGCTATGGGTAAACACTGATGTGTTTGCTTTGGATTGCTCTCTCTGGAGGAGCCTATCAATAGTCATTGATACAGGGAATATGCTTATTTAAGGATGTCACAGGGACTCAGAGACAGGTGAGACAAATATCCCTGGCATGCAACAAAATACATGTCTTCCTTCAGCTGCTACTAAACCTGCAGCTTCAGTTTCAAAATTTAGGCAGCTTTGCCTATCAGCAGATGCTAATAATGCAGTAATTATGGGAATGACAAGTCCTACAACAAAATTGGTAACTTGCAGGTTTACAATGACAAAATTGCTTCTGTTTCCATAGATTGGCTGCCAGAAGTGGTTAATTATAACATCAGGCATTATCATTATGCAAATAGAACAAAAAAAAAAAGGAAAATAAAAGCCCTGCTTGTAGCCTGGGGAAGAAGATAGATATTTGCCAGCAAATAAAAATGGTTTCTTCAAACAGTCTCCAGGCAGCTCCTGTTGAAGGCGTCACCACCGGCGTCCGTACGCTTCGTGTCACCACAAAAGTTAGGTCACATTTTCACCTGGCCTCGACTTTCTCTCGTGCAGGGTACACGTGGCCTCTCCCTACCAAGCTCTGTGCCATTTGGATCTACCTGGACGTGCTGTTCTCCACTGCCTCCATCATGCACCTCTGTGCCATCTCCCTGGACCGCTACATCGCCATCCGCAACCCCATCCACCACAGCCGCTTTAACTCCAGGACGAAGGCTTTTGCCAAAATAATTGCTGTTTGGACCATATCCGTGGGTAAGTGAGGCAATAGTTCAGCAGATTTCTAGCCTTGGAGAGGATTTGGTGTATAGATTGCAGGTGAAAAGTGTTTTCTCTGCCTGCAGCCTTTTGCTAAACGCTGTAGGGTGGTAATTGTGCCGTGGAAATCAAGAGCAACAATGAGGAGATGGAGGAGAAATGAGAAGCACCAGCACTGAAAGAATGTACACTAGTGATAGAAATAGTGGGTTCACGTTTGTTTTGAAGGTGTGTTTATTTCTCCTATTGATTATCCATCATTAGCTTAACATTTGAGAAGAAAAAAATGATCTCAACTGAAAAAAAAAAAAAATTTCCCTGTTTTAGGTAAGTCAGTTGTGGCCAACTTCTTGTTAGGGTAGTTTGCTTAGAGATGTTTCTTCTGCCTTTCTCAGTGCATGGGTGGCATTAGGGTTAGGGTTAGGGTTTATACATCTTATTTAGGAGGTGTTAAATTCTTGGTGGACGCCATAAATCAGAGAAGTTTCCTCCCAGGACAGATCATCGTTGCAGCCTAAAATAGGTGCCTTGAAAGACTCCCTCTCAAACCCAGGGACTTGAAATTAGGCATGGAAGTGCCACCCCCATTCCCAGGGTGGCAGCACCCTCAGGCCAGAGCATTTTCCTGGTGAGGAGGGTGGAAGGAACTCGATGTCTGATGCCTTCAGGCATTTCCTCACCCAGCCTGGCTGGGGTGGTGGTTCTCAGACAGGTCAAAAGCACAGTTCCCTTTCAGCCCATCTGGTTTTCTAGACCCCCCTGAGCACTGGCAGCTCACTAATTCAGAAGCAGAAAAAAAAAATCACTTTCTTGCCCTGGAAGAGGTGAATGTTGCCAGCAATCAAAGGTAATTAGCTGCTTCCCTGTCTAACACAAATTATTGCAAGTGGTAACTAATCCATTACCATCCTTCTGAGGGGAAGGAAAGGAGACTGTGCCTAACACTGCTGCCTGCCTGCTGCTCTGAATCATCTCCTGACCTTCCTCCTGGTCTTGGCTCAGAGTCTAAGAAAAAGCAGTCTAGGATCTTTATGACTTAATATAGCCATGCTTCTGCTGTGCAGCAGGAAATAGTGGGAGCCCTCTCTCCATGGGAGGACAGTTCTGTGTCCTCCAACACCTGGAGAGGTTCACCAGCATCACGTGTGGCTCTGAGCTGCATTCAGCTGATGAGATGGAAATGTCTAGCACAGGCCAAGTGAAGTCCAGCTTAAAAATACCCAGCTTTTGATTATAAAGGAAGCCTAGAGCAACTCAGATGCAGATGTCTTCAGTACTGCATCCAGTTCTGGAGCCCCCATTACAAAAGGGACGTGGAGCTGCTGGAGTGTGTCCAGAGAAGAGCCACGAGAATGATCCGAGGGCTGGAGCAGCTCTGCTGGGAGCACAGGCTGAGGGAGTTGGGGCTGTTCAGTCTGGAGAGGAGAAGGCTCCCAGGGGACCTTCTTGTGGCCTTCCAGGATCTGAAGGGGGCTCCAGGAAAGCTGGGGAGGGACTTTTTAGGATATTGAGTAACAACAGGACTGGGGGGAATGGGGCAAAGCTGGCAGTGGGCAGATTCAGGCTGGATGTGAGGAAGAAGTTCTTCCCCAGGAGAGTGGGGAGAGCCTGGGAGGGGTTGCCCAGGGAGGGGGTTGAGGCCCCATCCCTGGGGGTCTTGAAGGCCAGGCTGGAGGAGGCTCTGGGCAGCCTGCTCTAGTGGGAGGTGTCCCTGCTCATGGCAGGGGGGGTGGAACTGGGGGATCCTTGGGGTCCCTTCCAGCCCTGACAGATTCTGATTCTGTTTTAGCAGAGGACTTTAGAGCCCTAATGGCTCAATGGTTGGACTTGATGATCTTGGAGGTCCCTTCCAACCTAAAGGATTCTATGATTCTATGAATCACACCTTATACCTCTAGAGTTCTTTTTTTATCCACCTGGTAGAAAACACTACTTACTCTGCCCAATTTTTCCCATCTTGGACACGAAGTGCAGGGATTTTCAGTGTATTCTCCACACAGCATAAAAAAGTCAAATATTCCTTAAATTGGCATGCACTCTGTTTCTGCATTTGTGTATGGTGTCTGTGGTTAGTGTGTGTGAAATTACTCTCCTTTTTCACCACAAATAAATTCACAGAATGATCAAAATGACCATTCCAGAGCCAAGCAAGTGGTCCGTGCTGCTCAGCATCTCTCCTTAGAGAGTGGCTCACTGCCAGAGCATCTGAAGTATCAAAATGAATCCAGAAAAAATATATTATTTAAGCCCTATGAACTAAAATATGGTTTCCATCCTGTAGCAGAAGTGTTCAGTTCTTTGATATCTTGACATTTGGTATCAAATGTTAGGATTATATTTGATTTGAGCTGAAGGAAAATGGACTCATTCCCAACCTGGCAACTGTGCCATGAAGGAGCTCTGGAAAATGTGATGCTCCAGAGGACAGACAGAGAAGCATGCCAGTGTTGGTGTTATCACTGACCCTCTCCTCCTGCTCTGCCACAATCCAGCTGAGAACAGCTAGGAGATGGCTCCTGAGCAAAGAGGTGCCCTGTGCATCCTTTTACCAGTCTCCAGGCTCTCAGTGCTACCTGAGAGTGGCAGGGTTATAAATGATGGAACTCTTTGCATTTTCACACAGCTACAGCCTGCACAGAGAGCTGGTGCTGAGCAGAGTGTGTCAGCTCACTGGCAGAGTCAGAGAGGTGGGAGTTTCTCAGGGGTTTGCTTCCAGTTAGATAGTCTTTGACTTCCCCTTGCTCCTGTTTGCTGCTGAGCTGGTGACCTGTGAACTGACATGGGGTTTGAGACAGAGGGTAAAAAACCAAAACAAAACAAATGAAAAACATCATATTGCCCCATGTAGAGGCTCCTTTTACCAGGGTAAGAGCAGTGACTCTGCTAATGAGATCCTCAATAGCTCCTCACTGCCAAAATCCTTAGTCCACCCTCTCAAATAGCCCACTTCAATGACTGCTTTGCCAGGTTGTTCTCAACTCCCACCTTAACAAGCCCTACCCTTCTTTTAGTCTTTTGGATCCTCCCTGTGGACTGAGCTGACTCCAAAATCACAGAATCACAGAATGCTTTGAGTTGGAAGGGACCTTTAAAGATCATCTAGTCCAAACCCCCCTGTCCAAAGGCAAGGACATCTATCCCTAGATCAGGCTGCTGAAAGCCCTGTCCAACCTAACCATGAATTTCTCTGGTTAATTAGTTTCCATATCTCACCACTCTCATTGTAAAAAATGTCCAACCTAAGTCTACACTCTTCCAGTTTTAAGTCCTTGTCCCTTGTCCTGTCACTCCAGGCCCTGAGAAAAAGTCTCTCCTCTTCTCTAGGCTAACCCCCAACTCTTCCAGCCTTTCTTCACAGGAGAGGTGTTCCAGCCCTCTGATTGTTTCCACAGCCCTCCTCTCTTTCCTGAGCAATGACAAAGAGTTCTGCATATTTAGATAGGATTCCCTCTTAACTAATTACAACTCTTTGCTGCCTAGCACTGAATTTTGCCTGCTCCTTAGCTGAGATTTAGGAGGAGCTTCTGCAATTGTCTCCAGCCAACAGCTGCCTGTCTGCAGCACATTTATCCAGTTCCAGTGTCCATGCAGACAGGTCACAGATGGGCTGAGCAGCACTGATGCACACAGGAGCCTGTTGGACATTATCTTCTACTGCCCTCACTGTGGAAACAAACTATTGAACCCCATCCTTTGTTTTCTGTCTTTCAACACATCCTTTTTCTACAAGAGAATCCTTCTTCTTCTGCCACAGGAGTTTAATTTCTTTAACAGACTTCAATAAAACAGTGTTGTCAGAGCTTTCTGGAACTCCAGGAACATTTTATCAGCTGGATCATACTTATCCACCTTCTCACTGACTCCTACAAATACTTCTAGCTGATCTGTGGGGCATGCAGAAGTTCTCCTAGTGCTTCCCAATCTATTGATGCCTCCTTCATTATGACTTCTAATTGACCTATTAATATAATAACAATTACATTCACTAAATTTGTAATTTCCCTTTTTTTCACTGCATTCACAAATGTATGCAGTGAATTTGAGCCAAAGGCTGGTGAATCAGTGGTCTCCCTCCTGTTGGCTTCAGTGATATATCAAGGATTTAAAAACAGCAATTTAAAAGCATTTATTTGCTTGACTTCTGAAATTTTGGCTTTGTTGGTTAAAAAAACCCCAAACTGTACTAATATTTAGGTTTGCATTTAGTGGAAGAAGAGGGTTTAGCCAGCAGCATTTCTTTCACTAGACTATGTAAGGCCACAAGCAACTGGTTTAAAATGGATTCTAATTACTGGAACAGATTCTAATCGTGTATTTAATTCTTAAATCATCCAGTACCCAGAGTGGCTGGATAATTAGATTATTTGTAGCTGTTGAAGGCAAAAGCCCACGAAACCCTGAAAATGATTCCATTTGTTTTAAAGCACAGAGGTCATTACTGAGAAGAGGTGTAAAAAGCCCAAGCATTTTCCCCTTCCTAGAAAAATGAGAGTTGAATTTTGGATAGGGTTTAACAAATCTGTAGGACTTCCAAAAAAAAAAAGCCTATGCTGAAAAGTAGAGGTAAAGCACCCTGAGTTTGTAAGTGAGCCCAGGAGACCTACTGCTCTTCAAGAGGCCAACACTGTGTCATTCTTTCCTTTAAAAATCCTTGAAAGAGCCACATAAAATAATTACAGTCAGGAAGGTCAGGCCCTTATATATCATTCTTCAGTCCTTGTTCCCCTCTATTCCTCTGTTAATGGTTTAAGTAATGTGAAGTTTTATGAAGCCCAAATCCTCTTAGCTGATTTTTTCTCTTAGCATTTCTCACTCAGCCCACACATCTGTTGGCTGCCTCCAGGCAGTCTCTGCTCTCCCCAGTCACTAACAACTTAGATTTATTCAATACTTTCCATGCAGGAAAAAAAAAAAAAGCCCAAAGTGGAGCTGGAAGAAGCTGGTGAAATATCTTCCATCGTGAAACTCTCTTAAAAAATGTCATTGCTTTTGAGGCT